CGAGCTCAAAAGGTTCGCCATCACTGATATAGATCATGGTTTTTACCTCAAATAAGAAAAGGATAGAGAACAGCCAGTAGAAGCGCCTGGGACAGGCCCTTCCCACGGCTGAGGAAATTGTCATCCGACGGGACTGGATTAAAATCTCCTGGGCATCCGTGGCTTTGGGAGGAAACCAGCGGGGGGCAGGGAGGGCTGTACACAGAACTGCCTCACATCGGGGCTCCTGGAGGTTGTGCTACGCTGAACACCTCTGTGTAAACCGGTGTTCAAGGTCGGCAGGTGTTTACGGGGGCGACAACGGCATCAACTTCGTTTTTCAGTCAACACGCTCCGTCTTTTGGGTGTTGCCTAGAAAGTTGCACTTCTCGCCACCACAGTTTCATGCCTGGACTCTAGAATGTCGGTTAATATTGTTGGCCATTGTGTTGTTCTGTGTAACTGACCACTTATTCTTTGACTTACTCATTTAGCTAAAAATTGAGCAACTGGTATGTCCTCAGTTTTTCATGGAAACGCTCGTATTTGATTTTCGCTGCAATTGTGTGCAGTATATGGCGTTGTCTGCTGTTTGTACATGAGGAGCCTGAGTCTCAGAAACATTACACAGCTCCGGTTAAGGTCATTTTAAAGAGAGGAATGAGTAAGTTGAAACAAATAAACGTATAGGAAAACATTTAGACTTGCTCTGGTAATTTAAAAAATGGAACTTAAAACTTCCAGTTACCATTTTTTACTTAGTTTTTAAAAACGAAAATATGTGATAAAACTGGCACTTCAGATATTTCTGGTGTCATTCAGTTGGCTTAAAGAAACATAATATATTCTGTTTACAGAGACATACTGTATTTTTACCAGATTGCCTCCCCTTGGGGACTAATCCAAAATATGGTTTTAAAAAAAGAAAGCCATAACATGCCTATTTTTATAATAGTGTTTTATTTATAATAGTAGAAGTTTGGAGGCCACAGGAATGTCTAATAATAGTAAACAGATTAAATAATTTTGCTCCATCTCTTGATAGAAAATTTTACATCCATTAAAAATGATAAATGTTAAGAATATATGTGTACATTGTAACATGGGAGAATGTGGCTAATGTAAGTGAAAAACTCAGGCTGTAAAATGTACGACTGCTCTGATTTACTCCGTGGTCAATCAGAAAGACTGGGAGAGAATGTCCAACAAAACACTTGTATCAGCGTGGAAGGATGACAGGCCAATTTTTAGTTTTTCCTTCTTTACTTACAAAATACTCTCTGTGGTTGGCTTATGACATTAAAAAACAAACACACACGGTACACGTTATCTCCCAGCTTCTGTGAGTGAGGGGTCTGGGCATGTCTCATACAGGTTTTCCGCTTCAAACTCACCCTTTGGCAAATCGGATTCGCCCTTTTGCAAAGCAAATTTGCCTGCAAAGGGGTGCATTTGGAGAGGAAAACCTGTATGTAAAAGGGAACCAGGGTCCCCCTGCCCAGGGCCTTACAGGCTGCAGTTAAGGTGTCGGCCAGGCTGCGTTGTCATCTGGACACGTGGATGAGGAAGGATCTGCTTCCAGGCTCATGCAGGATGCTGGCAGGATTCCAGTGAGGGTCCTGAGCTTGGTGGCTGTCGAGGGGGTGGGGGGCACCCCTAGGTCCCAGGCTGCTGTCCGCTGCATGTGCACGGCCAGAGCTGTCCACAGCACGCAGGCTGTGTCTTCAAGGCCTGCTTCTCTCTGGTTAGAGTCTGGTATACGACATTTAAAAAGATGTTTATATTCAGTTTTTAGGAACACATCCTTCCCAGGATGACATCACAAAGCAGAACTCGAGCCTCGTACTTTCCATCACGTTACGGAGATCTTGGCTGATGTGTTGCTTCGATATTGCACAGGCTCACAAATACCCACCCTGCCTGGTCATGTTACGTTTATGGAGTGATTTACTGATTGATCTGTTTAATATTTTAAGGTATAGTTACTCAAGTAATCTTTATTGCCATCTTTATTGCAATCTTCTTAATATACCCATTTTACAGATGAGGAAATTGAGGCCAAGAGGCTAAGGAACTTGTGAAGCTCACGACAGTAAGTGGTAGAACC